GAACGTGAGAAATTGACCCCGGGGGAATGGCCACACCACAATCCCTTCTCCATTCTCCTCCTGGGATTTTAGACATGCATGTGCGTGCACCTGGTAGGATTTTCTTTTCTTTTTCTTTTTTTTCTTTTGGAGAGGACTTTTCGCTATAGGGCGCGTGCACTTGCCAGACAGACAGAGACATAGAGATAGAAAGAGAGAAATCACCCCCCAGGGGGGATGGCCACGCCGCAATCTCTTCTTCTCCATTCTCCTCTCAGGATCTTGGGCACGCACACACACGCGCCTGGCGTGAGTTTAAGCCACCGGGTCCAGTACGCGAACCGCAGTCGACTACATGGGAGTCCAGCGACATAGCCATTACGCTAACTGCTGGTTCCCTACCTGGTATGATTTTCAAGCCGCCAAGTCTGAGACTCGAACCTCAGTTGGTCATGTGAGAATCCAGCACCTTAACCTCCATGCCACCTGCTGGCTCCTTCCTTTATATTTTTTAAGCAAAAAAAAGATAGATTGTAAAACAAACAAAACAAGATGAATCGAGTTAAAGAAAAGCAGTAATGGGACCAGCAGTTGGCGTAATGGCTATGTCACTGGACTCCCACGTAGTCGACTGCAGTTCAAGTCCCGGACCCGGTGGCTTAAAACTCACTCCGGGTGCGTGTGCGTGTGTGCCCAAGATCCTGAGAGGAGAATGGAGGAGAAGGGATTGCGGCGTGGCCATCCCCCCTGGGGGTGATTTCTTGCTTTCTGTCTCTCTGTCTCTCTCTGTCTTTTTGGTGAGCACACGTGCCCTATAGTCAAAATAAAACAAAAACAAAAACAAACAAACAAACAAAACCCAGAAAACAAAAACACCTCTCCAAAAGAAAGGCAGTAAGTACGCCGTAGCGTAGGCAGCACACCAGCAAGCTCATGGAGACACAGGGAAGGTACGAGACACAGACCAGTCCCGGCCTGCCGTTCTACAGGTGCGCTCACCGCGGCCCAGCCTGCCCCAAGGCCTGCAGCAAGCCTGGGAACTTGGGCTCCGGACCCATGTCCCCGATACCCTGCCCTGTCCTCTCCCAGGGCTGTCAATATTGCTGTTGGCTACTGCGCTGACGGGGCAGGACGAACAGTGGAAGGAGGAGGGAAAGGCCTCCCCTCCCTCTCGTCCCGCCCGCCCCAAGCCCCCCACGTACCAGTCCCAGACAGCAGCACCCTGTCTACCTGATCCCTAAAGCACCCCCTCGGGCAGTGGCTCACGCCTCTCTGCTCAATATGCTCCAACCTCCCTTTGCCCAGACCTGTTCGAGCCCCACGCAGGGAATTCTCTCCCATCCGCTTTCCTCTGATTGATGGGGGGAGCGGAAGAAAGCTTTGTTTACCGATTCCCCTCCAAGAGGATGTGGTTCTTCCTCGGGAGGTTTACCTTCAGTCTAGCGTGGGTGAGACGGCATCCCAGCGGAATGACAGTTCGGGACACTGAGCCAAGGCCCCAGGCTATGGCATGCAGTGGGAGCCCGTTCAACGCGGGAGCTTCAGCCTCTTCCCGGCGTGTCACTCCTCTATGATGAAGGGCCCCTTTCCTAAGTGGGTTTGTGTTTTGGACAAAGTACAGATCAACCCAATGGGGCTTCTGCATACAGCCTGGGCACTGTGCATCCCCAGGGTACCACGCCTAGATTTAAAGGCGAAGAAGTGGGGCCGGCAGGTGGCATGGTGGGTAAGGTGCTGGACTCCCACATGGCTGACCACGGTTTGAGTCCCGGACTTGACGGCTTGCTTTCTCACTGTCTCACTCACTCTTTCTCTCTCTCTGGTGAGCTTACATGCCCTATAGCAAATTAAAAATAATAATGATGATGATGATAAATAAAAATTAAATAAATAATTCTTTTTTTTTTTTTTTGGAGAGATTTTCACTGTAGGGCGCGTGCGCTCGCCAGACAGACAGAGAGAGACATAGAGACAGAAAGCGAGAAATCACCCCCCAGGGGGGATGGTCACGCCGCAATCCCTTCTCCTCCATTCTCCTCTCGGGATCTTGGGCACGCACGCACACGCGCCCGGCGTGAGTTTGAAGCCACCGGGTCCGGGACACGAACCGCGGTCGACTACGTGGGAGTCCAGCGACATCGCCATTACGCTAACTGCTGGTTCCCAATAAATAATTCTTTTTTTAAACAAACAACAACAACAAAAAAGGTGAGGAAGTGGCCCTCGGAGTTGTGCAGTGAGTAGGCCTCGTACCTTTAGCATAACCCACTGCAAATTCCCGTGCCAGGAGTCCTAACACTGACGTCACCCCTCCCTTGCTGACAGACCTTAGGCAAGGTCTTTCCTGTTCTCGGCCTAGTTTCACAACAGCATCGGAATGGTATGGCCAGCTGTCTGGTGCGCTGCTGCTATAGAAAGGATTTCCACCCCTGCAGAGCGTACGAACTCACTCTCCTGGCTGGAGAGAAAGAGCCAGCCTGGAGTGGGGTGAGGAGATGAGAGGGGCACGGTTTTGACTCCGTCAGAAAGAAAAACTTCCAAGTGCTCACAGTGCCTAGCAGCAGAAGAGGCAGCTCTGGGAAGGGGTGAGCTCCCTGCGGCTTAAAGAATTCAAGGACAGACTCCTGGCCACCTGTTAGCGGTGGGAGGCTCAACCACATGTCCTCGGAGGTCTGGCCAGCATGGAGCTGTTACAGTTTCAAAGCTCAGTTCTGCTTTCAGCAGTGCCAGGAGGCGCTCAGCTGGAGGTGGGCCCTGTCAACACTGAGATAACTCCTTTTTTCTTTTTTCTTTCTTTCTTTTTTTTTTTTAAGAGAAAGATTTATACTATAGGGCATGTGTGCTCACCGGAGAGAGAGAGACAGACAGAAAGTGAGAAATCACCCCCCCAGGGGGAATGGCCACACTGCAATCCCTTCTCCTTCATTCTCCTCTTGGAATTTAGGGTATGCACGCACAAGCACTCAGCGTGAGTTTCAAGCTACCGGGTCTGGGATTCGAACTGTGGTCAACTATGTGGGAGTCCAGTGCCTCAGCCTCTTCGCCACCTGCTGGTCCCAAGATGATTTTTTTTGTTGTTGTTGTCATCGTTTTTTTAGAGGTTTTTGATATAGGGCGCGTGTGCTCGCCAGAGAGACAGAGAGACAGAAGAGACATAGAGACAGAAAGCAAGAACTCACCCCCCAGGGGGCATGGCCATGCCACAATCCCTTCTCCTCCATTCTCCTCTTGGGATCTTGGGCACACACGCATATACGTGAGTTTAAGTCACCTGGTCCGGGATTCAAACCGCAGTTGACTACATGGGAGTCCAGCGACATAGCCATTATGCCAACTGCTGGTCCCCGGGAGGTGATTCTTACTTAACACAGTGAGCTTGTCCCCAAATGAGTCCACAATCTGCACGTTAAACTCGGTCTCTCAGACAGTGCTGCTGTTTACCTCTGTGAAAGCAAACACATCTTTCCACTCTAGAAAGAACCAACAAACAGCCTTCCCAGACTCACAGTGGGGGAGACCGAGCAGGGTGGGAACCCTTCAGAGATATTCATGAGAAAGAGCCATGCCAACACCTCCTGGCCTCCCGCCCCGCATCAGCTCCTGCTAATTGCAAATCATCCTCATCTATTCATTAGTGCAGCTCCCCCAGGAATTCCTCCCAGCCAGCTCTGCCTCCCCAGTGACGTTCCTGCTCAGGAGGGGAACGGCAACGGATCAGAGGCTTTCTTGTAAAATCGCAACCATTTTGGCTTTTCCTTAATTCAGATCAGGGGGTCCCCCCGGAGTGCGAACGACAGAGGTGGAATTTGCATCGCCTTTACGGGGTATCCGCAACGCACCAGGAACAGCGAAGTTTGGCAATAATCCACGGGGACGATCAATAAAGGGCATTCAGGCGGTCTCGGGAAGGTGGAGTCAGAAAAGCTCCCACTGTGTTCGCTAATCTCAGTGTTTCATGCTCACGTCCAAGGTGCACCGGTGAGGCGAGAAAACCTCAGCCTGGGAGACCCTCTAAAAGACTCCCATTCAGAAATTTAGCTCAGGGCACCGCTGGCTCTTCAAACAATTCCAATGCATTGTCTTTTCTTGACCTTGGTTGAATAAGAGTGTATATTTACACTCTAAGAAGGTATCAGTCTCTATTTAGGGTATTTTCCTGATGGTGCAAGATATTTAGTTTGGCAAGATTCCAGAATTTTCTCTCTTGCTGATTCTCCCAGAGAAAAGCAATGAAACCATCCACCTGGGAGAAAGGGCCCCCCCCAATATGTAAATGCGAACGCCTACATTTGTGCCGTGTAGGCCATTTTATGGAACTTGCTCGCATAGAATATATACTCCCGGGACCAGCAGGTGGCGTGGTGGTTAAGGCACTGGACTCCTGCGTAGCCGACCACGGTTTGAGTCCTGAACCTGGCGGCTTGCTTTCTCGCTTTCCCCTTCTCTCTCTGTCTCTCTCCGGTCAAGGTAAAAAATAATAGTAGGAACCAGCAGATGCATAATGGTCACGTTGCTGGACTCCCATGTAGTCGACCATGGTTTGAGTCCTGGACCTAGAGGCTTAAAACACGCCGGGCGTGTGTGTGTGTGTGTGTGTGTGTGTGTGTGTGTGCCCAAAATCCCAAGAGGAGAATGGAGGAGAAGGGCGTGTGGTGTGGTCATCTCCCCTGGGGGTGATTTCTCGCTTTCTGTCTGTCTCTCTGGCTAGCGCGTGTGCCCTATAGCAAAAACTCTTAAAAATAATTATTATTATAATAGAATGAAAAAATTCTTATTTTTTAATCTTTTTTTTTTTTTTTTAAAGAACATGTCCTCTGATCTTTTCGAGAGGTACCGTGAGTCCCATTCCACAGATGAGCTGAGGCTTGAAGCGCGAAGGCTGCTCACCCCAAGTCCCGCAGTGACGGAAACATGAGCCCGAGGCTAAAAGCAAGTGCACCCTGTCTCCTCCCTAGGCTGCGGGGGCGGGGGGAGTGACACCTGCTCCCTAGGCTGCGGGGGCGCGCTGCGAGGTCTCCTACCTCTCTGCCTCTTGGTCCACGCTCGGCGGTTTGCTCTCGAAGGCGTTGAAGCTGCTCATGTCCACGTAGCCGTCGTTCTCGTTGGCCGTGGACAGGGCCCTGCTCTGGTCCTCGAACAGCTTCGTGAACGTGCTGCCCCTGGCGGGCCTCCGGGGCGGGATCTGGATGTTCTCGTAGTCCGAGTTCATGGCCGGAATGTTCTCGTAATCCGAAGTGTCCGCGTTGGGGAACGAGATGGACCGTGGCTTGGTCAGCGGCAAGGACAGGAAGGGTGGCCGGGAGCGGTCCTCGAAGGACTCCACT